TTGCTGTTGCTCAACATTATGTTTTTGTCATTGTTGTTCTTAGCAGTACTGGGGCTACATCCCCAGCCCTTTTTATTTGTTATTTTAAGAAAGGGTCTGGCTAAGTTACCAAAATTGGCCTCAGTTTCCAAGCCCTTAGCCTCCTAGCAGCTGGGATTGCAGTATGTGCAACCACATCTGGCTTACATTACGTTTCTAGATGTATCTGTGCTGATACTTGCACCTCTAATGCACTCATTTTCGCTGCTCTGTAGCACTCGGTGGCATGGCAATAACATAGCTTTGACCTATTTTCCTAAGCAGACACATTTGATTTGAGGAAACAGAATCACTGTCCATGAGCATCTAATTAGATGTGTAAGAGAGTTACTGAAGAAGCTCGTGTGAATGACAGAGGAGAGCAGGAAGAGGCAGAGTGAGCCCCCAGACCATGATGTGGGGCTGACACTTGTTGTAAGAGAGTGGGAGGAAGGAGGACAGAGTAGGGAGAGCTTCTAACCCTTCTAGGAGTCTCAGAGAGGCCAGCAGGGAGCTCTGAAATAAAGGTCTCCCAGAGGACCTGTATCACAGGAACGGCCCCGCTCCTATAGGCTGGTGAGTTCAGTGGCTGGCTGGGAGCATCTAGGGGGAACCAGCAATGCTCTGAAGGTGCACAGTGGTGTACACATCCACCATACGCCCACAGCAGGCTCTCTTGCAGAGTCAATGGAGCTCACCATAAGAGCACACCAGAAACGAGCTCTGCCTGGGGAACTTTCACTTACCCCTCCATCCTCTACCTTATTTTTAAAAATGATATGTTGGAGAAGCTCATCACAATACTGTATCATTCAAGCTGGGTCCCAGAGAACTTTCTTAGGCATTATGGCTGGGGCTGAGGTCACAGCAAGCCATGTCCACCCATTTCTTAATAACATGTTGAGCTGCCAGGGATCTACAGTCAATGCTCTAGCAGGTGGGAAGTAAGGTTTTGACCTCCCAGGTCTGCATTTCATTCTTGTGTTGGCCACTTGGCCATTGCATAACTGTGCACAAGTCCTTTCACTGTTATAGAGCTCACTTTTCTCACCTACAAAAGGAGAGTAGCCAGAGCTATCTCATGGACTGAAGAAATGATGGGGATTAAAGGAGGTGATATAAACATAATGCCTTGCACATATAGTAGGTACTTCAAAAAAAAAAAAAATTAGTTCATTCCCCATCCCACTAGGCCATTGTTGGAGATAAAGAAATCTATGCTTGGATGCAATACTTTTTCTCAAACTGAGAAATGTTTAAAAACTTAGAGCCTTAGTTCTGCAAACTCCAGCTATCACAATTAGGTTGAATCAGAATGATCTTCACTAAACCTTCTTATTCACACCCATCACTCTTTCTAAAGCAGCATTTGTGATTAATCTCACTCTAGGGCTAAATCGGTCCCCAGCGCTTCCAAGGCACTTGATAAAGAAGCTCTCTGATTTATAGCAAACACCATTATTGAGCGGTGGCAGAGAGAGGCCATTGGGGGATTTGTCTTGCTGGAAACTTGGTCTGTTGGAGCCATTTCTTCTATTTTCCTAGATAAGACCTCAATTTATTTCAAAAAAGATGAATGAGGTTCTTCCCTCCTCCTCAGTAGGGTGTGAGGGAAAGAGGACTTCAATGATTGTTAGGATTAAAGAATAACACACAGTGTTTTAAAACTGGAGAGCTTTCTCTGGCTTACAAAGACATGAGGACTCAGCAGAAAGCTAGTCACATAGTAGGTCTTTGATAAGTGTTTTAGCAAGGGTACCGGATTTCATTTGATCTTCAGAGTGGCCTGTGAGGTACACTGAGCCAGCTTCTTATCTGAGATTCACAGCTGGGAAGTGGCACAGCAGGGACTCTGACCCTCACGACCTGTCACCCCATCACCCTCTCTGGTCCAGCCGCAGAGCCTTCTGATCCATTTTCTTGGGCACAGATTCCTGACACAGTCACCATACTGAACATCTAGGTCACCAGGGCTCCCTTCCATTTTCAGGCATTCCTTGGCCCCCTTGGCTTTCTTCCAGAACACACTGAGGGAACACTGGCCTCTCCCTCATGATCTGTCTCTGTCACCTCTGCCTACATGAAGCCCAGATCTCTACTCTGGAAACACTCATGGATAGTTGTCTTACCTAACTTGAGCAATTCCAGGGACTCACAGCCTCCTCCTCTGCATGCTTCTGATTGTCAAGGGTTCTTATTTGACTGGGCCAGCGTCTTGTCCCTGGGATGTAGTTCTCCTGGACTTCAGACTTGGCTGTTCACAGACCAGTGGGAGGAAAATCTTAGGCTCCACAGACATGGTTTGAAGCCTTCCCACCTCCTAGCTGTGTGACATACAGAAAGTGACTTAAATTTCCTAAGTCCTAGTTTTTTCATTGTAAAATAGAACTAATGTTTTATTAGTAAAAAAAAATTTGTGGCGTAGGAGAATAATCAATTAATAGCAAAAATAATAAACACATTTAATTTCACCTCTCAAAATGTTCAAGGAAGGAAGTACCAGTGCTGGCTCAGCAACCCAGTGACACTGGGGTTTTGGAGTAAAACTACAGGATTTTCTAGGCTACCACATATTGATACAATATCTGCAAATCTGGGGTAGAACATGTAGGTACAAACAAATAAAGGAAAAGTCTTGTCATCCCTGGAAAACATTTGCTTTCCTTTCTATCTCATTGGTCTGATCTGATCACATACCTATTCTTAGACTGGTTACTGTCTGCTAAGTAGCACTACCATGATTAATTTAGATGTTCATGATGCATTCTCTTAGACAGGTCACACAGCCACCACAGCAATGTGAAGCTTGCTGGGAAGAAGAGTGACCATTGGAAGGGCAACAACAGTACAATAGTATGTGAAGTTGGATAACATACGCAAACTGACACTTTGCTTCATAAGTGTTAACTCCTGCTTACTATTACTGTAAGTGTTAATAAAAAGTAACCAGCAACTCTTTAAACATCTCCTCTCCCTCCCAGAACTTCTATTCACCCTTGATGATGTTCATGATGAGCATGCTCCTTGACAGAAAGACCACAGGCAGGGCTGCCTGACATAACTCCACAGGTGGCACTCACCCACGCACCCTTTGGAAGTTTGCTGTGGACAACTTGTGCGAGCACTAGCTCTGGTCCTGAAGAGGAGGAACGCAGTTCTTTGGTGCCACCTGTCTTCACCATATCATCTTTTCTCACAAGTGGTGATTACTTGCTCTCCTTGGTACATTTGGTCCTGATGTAACTTTTCTCGCAATTTAGTTTTATTTTCATCACTAGCCATCTTCGTAAGTCTCACATATAAACGTGTTAACATCTCGGGTGAAAAGAGGGAGAGGAGTTCCCTTTGAGGGAGAGTCGGTGACAGTAGTAGCCACTGAGCTTGACCACAGGAGCACTACCTGTCACTCGTGTGTCACAGGGGCTGGGGTGAAGAGAGCTCCCCCTCTCTGTTGGGCTGTTTGAAACAGTTTGGAGAGATCTCACCCCAGAAGGCACAGAAATGAGTGTGCACAATGGCTGACTACTAATGTTATCTGTACTAGAAAACACGAGGCTTTGTTGAAAATTTTTCTGTTTGTTTCTTGAAGTTCTCTGCCTCACTAAAGAGTTCCTTAAGTAGAGATCGGGCAAGAAGTGGATCTCCTTTCAGGCTCTGGGGACAAACTCTCTTCTGTAAACCACCTTTGGAAGCAGGTGCAGTATAAGCCAGAGGTGAGAAGGAGGAGGAAGAAGGCAAGTGATGGACACTTATCATTCCTTAATCCACTAGCTTCGCACAGATCCTCTTGCTGGTAGGTATCAGGGAATACTTGGATGGAGAGAACTGGTCTCAGTAGAGTAAATTTTCTAAGGTCTATCTGATTCACAAGAAATTTCTCCATATCACATTCTTTTGTACACTACAAACCAACCAACAACCAAAGGGTGAAACTACCAACACTCAGTGTCTCCAGGAGGTATTTTTACATCAGAGCCCCCAGGGCCTGTAAGGCCAAGGGGTCCTCAACAGTGAGGTCCAGGTCAAGTTGCACAGGCTCTTTTGGTTCCAACCTCCTTGTTTGTGAAGTGGGACCATCACAACCATGCACAAAATTGCTCTAGAAGTCAAGGCAGACATGGCATGACAAGTGCTTCCAGGATGTGGCTGGGAAGGTCTCAGGAATGATTGCAGCCCTTGTTATTGCTCTTGCTACTGCCCCCGGTTTCTGCAGCAGTCTGACCCAGGGGCCCCTGCAGAACCAGTTTCAGTGTTGCCAAGCTGGTCCTGTACCTGCTTTGTCTTCCTGCCTGGTATTCCCTTTGCATGTCAGCTCCAACACATTTCTGTGTTCTGGAGGCTGTGCAGTGTTACCTACAGTCTGTTCTGCCTGTTAAATAAGCTCCCACTCCGGAACAAGCTGTCACATCCATGTAAAGATCATTTTATACCTGGACTATGATTTCTGAGTCAACCCCCCTGCATTGTGGCTCTTAGGGTCACTTTGGATCTGGAAGCTGTGAATAATGGGTCCTGGCTTAAGCCTGGGAGGCTGCTTTAGGGGCAGGTTATGCAGCCTAGAAAGGAAGTGAGTAGCTTCCTCTTGAGCATGTGTATGGCCACTCTGGACATCACAGAGGAACTTCTGTGCATCATGATTAGAGTGCTATGAAGGAGCAAAAAGCAAAATGTGCATGGCACTATTTTACAAAGCCCATTCCTGTGTGAAAGTTGATTCATTAGTTTCTTCAAACAACCCCAGGAAGAAAGGCATCTTAAAACGACTTGCTGTGTAAGGGGCCAGTCACTTCATCTCCCTGAACTTCAACTTCACCATCTGTAAAGTGCGGCTCTGTGCCAGTGTGCAACCATGGCTGCGTAAAGGACAATAAAAATTATTGGGAGATGAGACTTTAGCTCATCACCAAGAAGACCCAGAGGGGCTACCACTTCAGCATAAGAGTGCTTCAGGGAAACAATAACAAGCTGAGAACTCTGTGGTTATTTATTTGTAACTCAAGAACATAAGAAGAAGCATTTGCAACATGTTGTATCAGAGTTTTGGTAGGGGACAGGGACAGAGTGGGATGCTTTGTTACACGACAAATGTCCACGTAGTTTAAATAATTTTATCAGGGCAGGGGGGACACAATGGCCAAAGCAAACATCCCTAAGAACAAATTGCTTTTGATTCTGCTGACTATTGTCCTGCAGATTCTCCTCTAAACTCTTGCCATTTATTCCAGGAACATGGGAACTATTGTCCAGAAAGTCCCTTCATTTTTTTCATTCACTTCAAACACATTTTTGGCCAGGTTCTCCCCAAAATTCTTCTTTTTGGTTTTATGTTACAGACTGGACAAAGGAGGAGGAGTACAGGGTGGAGGGGTATTCGTCTTAATGTAGGAAAGTCATCATGACTTCTGAAGAAAGGGCCTGCTGGAGCAGCACACAGCACTCTTGGCACTGCAAGAAAGACCAGAAAAAAATATTTTGCCAATAGCTATAAGAATCCAGATGCAAAAATTGAGACCAGAGAACCAGTGCTTAGGATTGAGTTGGTAGTAATATCATTGACATGATCCAGAGTAATGTTGCCAGCCTGCATGTGAAGTTCATGAAGTTGGACCTGAATTTGGCCTTGGAGATTAGTACTGCCTCCACCCAAATGTGTATGAAAGGGGCCATGGAGAAGGTGTGGACTCCCCCCAAGATTAAGAATGACTGAAAGGAATAGTGTACACTGAGTGATGCCCAACATCACAACTCAGATGACTCCATGTCCACGGGGCTTGTTGGTGTTCACAGAGCTAGTTGGCAGCTGCCTCAAGGGTGTCAATTCTTTGCAGAATTTCTTTATCAATATTAGCCTGAGTCAGTAATTCTGAGTTTAACATTTTGGAAATAGTCATTTTTGAGCATTTTGAGCAGTTTGGATTCATCGAACTAAGCAAGTGTAGCAGTTGCTGCAATAGTGGCCAATGCAGTAGTTGCAATAATAGTTGCAATCAAAATGCCTAGAAAGTGCTTTTGTCTGATACGTTCAAGTGTTGAAGTAATTTGCTCAAGAGTGGAATTTCCATCCACTCTTGAATGATATTGGTAGGGAGCCAAGCCTCAGCTTACTCTTGGAGTATCATAATGTGTGTAATATTTAGCTCATAAATATTATTATCTGTAACACAAGGAGTTAACCAGGTAGCATTAGTGGGAAAAGAAATATAAAGTGCATTAAAGGGTCTATAATGATGATTAGAGGAATTGCATTTGGTTATTTTGGGTTCGTGATTAATGAGAGCCAGAATATATGGACGGGAAGTACAGATCATAACATGGTCAGAAGTGTCATGAGCAATCCATCTACATGTCGGTAATTATCAATTCCAATAATATGAGGGAAGAAGGGAATAGCTAGGCACCAGAGGGGTTTTTTGATTGGAAAAGTAGATAGCTAAGGATAGGTGTAACGAGGGTCCATGCTGGTGTGCTGCCATAGTAATTAAAAGGCAAAGCATAATTCCAGGCAGAATTAGACCCTAATGCCATCAAATTATGGGGTGCCAAATTTTTGAAGGTTAGGTTATAAGAAAGATGAATGATACAGAGACTGGTGGACCAATATGAAGTCCACCCCATAACTAGACCATCTTCTATAGGAACCCATGGATAAGAACATACGGGAGTGTTAGGTTTGGGGAAGTGCCTGCCAGACACAGGGGAACCTGGAACTCCATCAGCATTAATAAAGACCTGAGGGCAGGTTCCCTTGGTATGGCTCGGCCCAATGAAAATGTGATTCATATACCAGTGGGGGTGAAAGGGACTACAATAAGAGCTAACAGTGCCATTAGTGACTAAGCAGAGGGGAAATTCTTCAGTCAAAATGTACCATTCGTGAGATAGTAAATGCTGGCAATTAATATCCAAAGTGGCCACAGTCCCTTAAAGGGCCGGGAGGGGGCAACCAGGCCTCACCAATAAGAAGTATCATTAGACAAGAGGAGGTTCAGAGTCTCCTTAGGAGACTATATCAAAAACAGGAGGGAAAAGTATATGTGCCTAGTATCCCACACCACTTAATTTTGGTGTACAGCTAAATAGAAGCAGAATAAAAAGGAACCTTATACCTTTGCCATCGTAGAATTACAGATGATTTATGCTACCTTTGCCAGGAAGAGGTTTTCTGGAGTGAGAGGCATGCCAGTATGCTGCAGTGTTTATGCAGTTTGAGCAGTGAGTTGGTCAGTCTCTCCCCAGGTGGGTCTCGATGATTGTATTATAGAGGGAAGCAGATTAGTTCTCACCTGGTGCCACATGATACAGATAAATAGCCTTTGTGGGAACCCAGAGAGGGCTGGTGGGTCACAAAAGAGATGCATGTCCCCTTCCTCCAAGTGAGCAATTCTGTTGGACCCAGCCACTGTGGGTCCAACAATGGGTGACGGTAAAGGACCAATGGTCTGGGCCTGCTTATGGGAATAAAGAATTTCTCTACTGTAGTGAAATCTGAGTCTCAAATTTTAAAATGTACAGCAAATAATGCTTTAGATACTCTTTCTTGTGGAGGGAGCTTCTCCATCTTATTTACCTTTTTTATTTTAATAATTGGGTCTTACAGAGCCCATTAGCTCATTTTATGATTGCTTGACCTGTAGGATTATAATGTATACATGTGACATGGTTAATATGGAAGAGCTGAAAGAAAGCCTGAAGAGAATCCTAAAGGGAATAATATGCCATCTATAGAAATATATTTAGGTTTAACAAGAGGGTTATGATGAGTTAGTCCATTTGTCAAATTTTTTTACTTTTTAAACCGTAGGGATTGACACCTATATAAGGAGCAGATTGTATCTGTTTTGAGCAGTCAGGGGAGGTGCAAATAATTTCTCAGGCCTGTTTATGTGTAATATTAAAAGAATGGAAGAATGCTTTAGCACCTTGGTGAGAAAATTGATGTGAAGCAAGAGCCTCTTTTAAAGAGGTGGAAAGCATAACCAGAGTATCAGCACAAATGTTCCCCTCCACGGTGGGGCCAAGGAGATCACAGTAAGAGCGTACATGAGTAATAGGAAAAGTTGAACTGTGATGTCTAATCAATTCTTGCAGGTGTCTAAATATATGGAAGAGAATTTCATAGTTACATTATAAATAAAGGCAGTTTCAAAAGCCTGTAGGGTTCTTATAACATAAGCAGAAGCAGTGACAGTACTGAGGGATTGCTTAGGGAACTGCTCTTTATCAGTCATGTTTGTCTCAGAAATGGAAGTTATAGCTTTTGATGGAAAGGAGAGGAGAGTTGGGATCTGGGGAGGAGCGACTGATGAGAATCACGGCTGTAGCCCCCTAATCTTTTTTGAACAACAATGAGACCTTTTTTAGAGGGGTAATTTGGGCTCAATCAAACTAACAAGAGAAAAGCTTAAAATAACTGAAGACACATATTTCTTTCTATAAATTGCATCCTCCATAAACCTATTTTTGACCCACTTGAACCTTCTAGTTTTTGCTTCTCTCTCTCTGTCTCTCTGTCTCTGTCTCTGTCTCTCTCTGTCTCTGTTTCTCTGTTTTCCTATCTTGGTAGGGCATGTTTTATCTAATAAATTCCTCTCACAACAAAATTTATCTATTTACTTAAATTTTTCTCCCATATTCTCTTTTCTGTCCTACTTGCTGCTGATGCTTAGATTTTAAAGTGTCTCTATCCTTCTGCCTCTTTTTCCTGTGTTCTCAGGTTGTTATATTGTGAATTTGACTGGCTGCCAATAAATTTTCAAGTGATCTTAAAAAAGTATTTTATCTCTACTGAGGCAGTAGAACAAATTAACCCTATAGTTGTAGTCTAAAACTTTACAAAACACAGAAATGTTTTAAGCACATCAATTAAACAAAATATCAACTTAAATTGGAAAACAAAAGAAAATTTATCAATTAGCTACGATTGGTAACAATGGGCTCCTGTAAATTTAGGGAATGGCATTTATGTCCAGAAGACCATCTAGGCAAAGTTTCAAGAAGAATTTCTATTTATCTTTGCTGTCATAGGCTTAAATTGTTTGTTTTTTTATACTTTGTTGGTCCTCATGACTGAATTTTCCTCCAATGGATGTTTTATGTGTACTCTGAGAGCAACTTTCCTATATATAAAAGAGGTAGTATTTATAGTGTAATTTTCTATTTGGCTCACGCATGAGGTTATTTGGTTACCCCAAATGTTTGTTTTTATCTCTCTCTGTGTCCATTGTGCTGTCCTTAAAAACAACAGTTTTGAGTGTTCTATGTTTTCTGTGCAGAGAAGGAAAATCGTAGAGACAGTGGGTCACTCAAAAATGGAGTGGGATCCTCCTCCTTCTCCCCCAGGATCTGTTACATGCAGGGACATAATTTCCTGGGTGAGTACCCCAATTTTAAAAGAAATGAATTTACTTGTTTAGCTCCAAATTGGACTCCAGAGGCAGGGAGAGTGAGGCTGTAAGAGTGATGCCAGTACAGACAGGCATGCTAAAGGTGAGAACCTGTGTGTTTTTATTTTTAACCTGTAAGAGTCTTTTCTCCCATGATAGGATTTTTAATCCCATTTTTTTGTTTATCTCTTGAATACCAGTGAAAAACCTTCTAAATTACTGCATGCAGACAACAATAGACAGAGCATATATAAAACCAATGGTCCTGATATCAAGCACTTGAGATAAGGTCCTGTCTGAAAACTTATATAAACAGCTCTCCATGAAAATCTTAAGAAGCAAATCAAAGAAGTGGAAAAATTGTTGACCTCAAAGCAAAGGAGCTGCAGGTGTTGAGCACAAGCTCAGATAGCCATGGCATTCTTGAGCCCCTGTAAAAATACTAATAGGAGTTTTTATTTTCTTGATAGATCTGTCTCAGATTAGCATACTTTATTGGCTTGACTTATTTTTTGCCTCTAGCCCTATCTTCCTTCCCTCTCTCTCTCTCCCTCTCTTTCCTCCTTTGCCTCTTCTATTTTTTATTTTATTCCATTTTTTTAAATTTTGTTTTGCAGTTAGATGTTTTTTTAAAAACGTTATAAATGCTGCCTACAATGTTGTGTCTCTTTAGATAAAGTCTGACCCATACCATAGGCAAAGCAGGAGAAATGAAAGTAAAAGGGCAAAGTGAGAAACAAACAACTATTCCCATGCTCCTAGTAATTGAACAGCCAAGAGATCTCCAGGTGATCTCATGATAATAACACGAGGGGGAGGACAAAAACGAGAGATTTTTTTTAAAAAAATATTTTTAAAACACTGCCCTCACTCAGTAATTGGACAGTGATAACCAATGGGTTGAAAAAACCGAGACTGTGACCTTGCCAAGATGTATCAGGTTGTTCATGGCTATCGATGCCTGCCATACCGAGACTAAAATAAAGAGTTTGATGTTCTTGTTCCTTTTCAGGCTCTGAGAAGCTGGTCCTCTGTGCTGATTTGTAGCTGTAGGTTTGTCTTGCAGTTTCGTATCTCACAGCACTGCCTCACTGCTTCTTGGCCTCATGCATGAGTTCGTTCCCCACATTGGGTACCACCTGTCTCGGTGTGTGATCATGGCTGTGTAAAGGACAAAAAAGATTATTGGGAGATGGGACTTTAGTTACTGAGAGAATCCAGATGGGGCTGCTACTTCAGCATAAGAGTGCTTCAGGGAAACAGCAGTGAGCTGAAACTTCTGCAGGTATTTATTTGTAACTCAAGAGCATGAGAACAAAGATGTAGAAGAAAAGCATTTGCAACGTATTGGTCAGGGAACAGGGGCATAGTAGGATGCTTTGTTACATGACACATGTTGACCTAGTTTAAATAATCTGATCAGGGCAGAGGGGACACAATGGTCAAAGCAAACATGCCTGAAAACAAACTGCTTTTGATTTTGCTGATTGTTGTCCTGAAGATTCTGCTCTAAACCCTAACTATCCACTCCAGGAGCATAAGGATTATTACCCAGAAAGTCCTTTCCCTTTTCACATTCACTTCAAATACTCCTTTGACCAGAGTCTCCCCACAGGGCTGCTGGGGGACTTAATAGTGATGTTTGCTAGCCAGCTTCCCAGCTTGGGTTCCCCCACAGTAGGCTCCAATACAAACCTGAGGTGGGCAGTGGGCTCCAGGTAGGGGTGCAGGAGTTACAGTTTATATCTAGAGGTCTGCCCGAAGATTCGCATGTTCAAAGGAAGGATTTCTCAAAGGCAATTACATCATGGGGGCTTACAGCTGACTTGCTGTTAGGAGATGGGTCTGGTCAGAAAAGTCACTGGGGGAATGGCCTAGAAGGGTTCATCTCCCTTTCCAGTTCTTGCCTTGACTCTGCTTCCTGGATCCCATGGCCCTCTGCAATACTGCCTTAACTTGAACCAGCCAAATACGGACTGGAACCTCTACACAAAGCCTTTCCTCTCTTATGCTGTAAGTGCTGGGTGCTATATTGTGTCTCAGTAACAAGCAAAGTGACTAAGACGAAAGGGGAGCCAGGGAGGAGAGAAAAACCAAAGTGCAAGTAAATTAATGACCTGGGCCCCTGGAGCTCAGCCCTGGGACAAATTAGATCAGACCCAAATCATCACATGAGGAGGCTAAGGCCCACATCTACTGCCTGGGGTCCCTACTAGCTGGGAGATGCCCCTAAGGGCCTGAGCCTCTTGCACTGCTACTGGCTGCATCCTGAGTGCCAGAAAAACCCTCAGTCAGTGCTCCCCTGAAACTAACTTTGACAGAGGAGGAAAACAATCAAAGAGTGAAGTAACCTCCTGGTACCCACCAAGCTTCCCGCAGGTCTGTCTGATGCAGACTTGCTCCTATGAGCACAACTTTAAGGTACAGCTAAAGGCAGAACTGTGGAGACTGATGTATTAAAAGACAGGAAGTCACTAGTCTTCTGACTGTGTTGAGAAGCATGCACAAAGCAGTGCTTTGGACCATGGTCAGAAGACAGAGGTGAGGTTTTAGGACAGTGTGGTAGGTGTGGGAACAGAACTTGCTCCATGTCCACATAAACTCACACATGAGAGACTGGGTGACTTGCTCATCACAGCTGGAAAAGAAGGCAGGATTTGAACCCACATCTTCTTGTTTCCTAAACTAGTTCTCCTGAGAAGAGGAGTTAGTTCATTGTGCTTAGCTCAAGTCAAAGCTGGTGGCCCAGATGACTTCTGGTAGTCTTAGGGCCAAATAGGTCTATGGTTTCAGTGGGTCAGAAGTACTCTGGAGAAAAATAAAACAGACAATAGGGGCAGCAAGTGACTAAGGTATGCAACTGGGCTTTCCCACATGATCACTCAAGGTTTTGCAGGCAGAGCTGGAGCTCACGGACCTTGGGGCACTGAGGATGTGGAGAGAACTCTGGCTGCGTGGTGGGGGCCTCCTCCTCTGTTAGCAAGTAAAGGTTGCCCCAAAACTATCTCAGACATTCAAATAACTAGTATTGTTTGCTGCTTGTCCTTATTCGTATAGTTTCCTCAATTCTTTTAACATTTTTAGTAGTAGTATGACAAACGTCTTTTTTAATTTTTACTTTCATTAGCACATGTTTGCAGTACATAATGATCACACTCATAGTGAGGAGCAGGTACAGGTACACAACGCATCTTCATTCCTCTTCTGTCCCCGCCTTCTTCTTTCTCTCCCCTCCAACTCTTGGCCCCCTTCCCATTTGCGGATCTGTACCTGTTTCCTTGAACTCATGGGGCACTTATTATGTGCTAGTACCTGTCTCTGAGGGCTGCTGGGTCCGTTTCTTGAATAACTTTCAGTCCGCTGCTTGGCATTGCAGCTGCTGTTGAGAGATAACAGAAAGTTTCAGAGATTAGGGAGTAGAGAAAAGCTCTAAGCTCTAAAACAAAGTAGGAGCTGCAAATAAGTGTTTCCTGCTATGCTGCCATTTGTGTTCATTTCCTGCATGTGCAAGAACAGGTGTTAAAAACAGTTAAAGCACCCAGGCTTCGAGAACCTGGGCTATCTGTGTGATCTCAGTCAAATGATCATGGTCCTGTAAGGCCCACTGTGCTACCTATAGTTTAAGGAATAGCCCATGGCTTGTATAGTTGTTGTGAGGATAAGGAAAGGCTGTAGGACCTGCCCTTAGCAGAGCTCAACAAATTCCAGCTCTCATTCTCCTGGCCCATCCTGTGGACACTGGTCTGAGGATTCCAGGAAAAAACTGGCCCTGTTTCTCTAGTTTTAAGCACTGGAAGGTTGGGACTGATGGGAGTTCCTATTGGAGCACTCTCCTGACAAGGGCAGATCTGAGTTGTGACAGATCAGGTAAATGGCTGCCTTCTGGCAATGCCCTCTCCTAACTAATAACGCTACCATGTAAGAGTCAGCACAGGTACAGCCCTCTGGGTGCTGTACAAAGCATATACATGTTACTATATTTAAACCCTGTAATAATCCTGGGAACTGGGTAAGGGAAATGTTACTATCCCACTTTCCCAAGGGAAAAACTAAGACTAGTGATGTTGCCCTTGATTCTCTCATAGCTACAATTACATCGTAGAGGAATTAATGGGGAAAATTTTGTTTCTGTGCAAAAACAAAGTGATTTAGAAAATATGTCCTTTGTATAGAACCACAGAGTCCTTAAGTAGACCATCCATCATCTCTAGCCTACAAAAATATGGTTATGCTTTGGGTCTGTTGGTCAAAAAATTAATACGTGTGAATTTTAATTTCTTTTATATTCTAACAAGAGGAAACAATCTGCCAGCTATGCTTCGATACTTCCAAGAGCCTACAAAAAGTTTTGTATTTCTCTCTTACATAAGTAGGCCACCCAAGCAAATTAAAACTACAAATTTCCGTTCTTTTAGCTGGATTCTGGTGATGCCAGAGGTCCTGCCTGGTCTTTGCTGATATTAGAGGTTCTGAGAGCTTGAGCGACGCCACACTGTGACTTCTGCCCTCTGCCCAGCAGTCTCCACTCTAACCCTTCAAGACAGGGCTGTGGTCTGTGGGTCCTCACACACAGAGCAGGTAACAGGAAAGCAGAACTTTGTGATTTGATTCAAAGATTTGATTTGATTCAAAAGAGCCAGTAGTTAAACATTTCTGACAGGAGTCAGGGGGCCAGGATGGAGGGGTAGAAAGCTGAAGTTTTCTTCCAGAGGTGAATGGGAACCATTTCTCACCAGAGACTAAAGAACCCCCTAGACTCTAATAAGTGCATGTTATGAGGTGATTACTTTTACCCTTCATAGATATAAATATGCTTACAATGTGTATTTTTACCACCTGTCAGAGAATTCACCTTAAACAAGGAGAAAGAGGTACAGGCCCTGTTGCTCACTAGTGAGGGTGCAGGGAAACACACACTTTCATCCTCACTGCCTTCATGAGATCTGCCCACCAAAAAGGCATAAGCAGATGAGAAGCACAGATGTGTCAGAAGATGAGGATTTGAATCTCAGTCCTCTCACTCAGGGCCAAGTAGCGCTGGGAGCACACTGCTCAACGTCTTTGAGCTCTGTTCCAGATAAGGAACAAAGGTAATACCTCTTCTCCAAATGTGGTGTTGCAGAAAGAACACTGGGTTACAAAGCAGACTCTAGTAGATCCAGCTCCACGTCAGCCATTAACCCGAAGTTCACACATGGATAATACAACAAATTCCTCCATCTTTGGTTTTCTCTCCTGCCAGTAAATAATGCTATTTGTCTTTCAGTCTTATGTTAGTTTTGAAGATATAACTTAGATTTAAAACAAAAGAACAAGACAAACCTTGTATGGTAAATATACTAATATTAATTCAGCAATATACTAGTGCCATTGTGAAATTTACACTACATTATTTTAGCTGGGTTCAAATACCATTTCAGATCAAACTTGGAGGGAATTCTCATTTCCTTCCTTGCTGAAAGAGGGTAACCATTGCAGGTTTTAATTCTGGCCCCCAGTGGTGCTCCATCCCACCATGAGGCGGCCACTCTGTGCGTGGTGACTGTCCCCCTCCTCCCCTCTGGTGCTGCAGCTGACAGGTCCAAGCCAATCAGGACAAGCCTGCTCCCTGCTGCAGTGTGGAGGGCTCCACTGCAGCAGGAGTGAGGACTGCCACTGTTCCACCCAGACATGCACAAAGCACGAGGCTGCCAGCGGTCAGCTCACCATCACCAGGGCGCAGCGACCAGGATGAGAGACTGCAAAGGAAAAACACACTGCTTGATGACACCATGATCTCTGAATTAAACTATGGCCAAAGTGGGCAGACACACGGGGGCTTCCTGTTAGATAAGGCAACAGACTTTCATGATTGTGAGTTGGTTTTCCTGTTCTTAAAGGTAAAATTTGTTCCTGGTCTTCTCATAGCTTAACCTTAAGGACATTTCAATAACCCTATAAAGTTCAGTTTCCTGACCTACAATGAAGGATAATGTAATCTCTACATATAAGGCTTCACTAAGGTTCAAGAGTGCTTGAAAAATGCTTAGAGTGGTGCTTAGTACAGAACAAGCTTTCAATAAAAATGGTGCCACATTGGGAACTCTACAAGCAGCATGAGGATGAAATGAGTACATTTCATTCAGTCATCACATCCACCAATAAGGACTCACTGTCACACATTTACGGTGTTTTTTTGTTTTTTGGTTTTTCTCCGGTACCGGGAACCGAACTCACGACCTTGCGCTTGCCAGGCAGACGCTTTGCCGCTGAGCTAAATCCCCAGCCCCTGTCACACATTTACAAATGAGGGTTAGAGCTCAGGTAACTTGTCTAGGGTCTCACAACTACTATGAAGCAGAGATTTCACAAAGTATGACTCTTTTTTCTTAATCCTTTAACCAGATGATAAATACTGGTGCTGAGTAAAATATTAACTGAATGCCTACAATGTGCAAAGAACTATTATGAGGTATTAGAAATAGAGAGGTAAATATACACATTGTGCATGCATGCATATGAGTTTCTGGGCATTGGATCTAGGGAACTCTACCACTGAGCTACATCTCAGCTCTTTTTTGTTGTTTGTTGAGAGGCAAGATTTCACACTAAGTTGCCCCAGCTGGCCTCAAATTTGCAATCCTCCTACCTCAGCCTCCCCTGTAGCTGGGACTACAGGCATAGGCCACCATATCCAGCTACACATTCTCTTTTAGTTTCAGAGGACAATGTCTATCCAGATTATGACTATCTAAATTATAAAAGAGATTATACTAAACTTACGCCTTGAATTCACTAGCCTCCTGCTCCTAATAACCAGTCAACCTCTAAATCCTATAGGCTGAGGAAAAGCAGAGAATAACAACAAAGTTCTACAACTAAATGCAGAATATAGTACTCATGTAACAAAAGTATACAGTTTACATTCAAATTGTTATTTAATTTCTCTTAAAACCCTGAGCCAAAATGTAGTATTTCTTTTATATTTGACTCTATGGGTTAAAAAACACCTCTTACATACATGCTATGAATATATTACCTATGTATTACCTTTGCTCTAATACAATGTCAACTTGTATGTTTTCTAAGAAGTCTGAACAACACAATTAGATGTGACAATGAGATGGAAGAAAAATAGATCAGGGTTTCCACACATCATTTTCTTAGGAAATCTGCAGGGAAATTGGTGTGTTTTACTGGTTAGCTCTAAGTGACTTCCTCCAAACATCTTTACATGTTACACAGAGCCTCTTACAAAACTTCAATCACCACAAGTGTAAAGAACAATAGAATAGAGAACAGTTCCTGTAAACCTCTCCCTTACAAGTGTTGTCTTTTCTGCAGGTCAAGAATTACCTTATAAGCAATATGCAATAAGCCATGAAAAGCATAAACAGACTCTGAATTTGTCTTCTCAGCAACCAGGTAAATGTTTTGTCTAAGTAAATTGAACAGAGACTTTATGGGCTTTCACGCACAGAGAAAGCCCACTCTCCTACTTGGCCTCACACCAGGCTTCTCACTTCGATTTTCATAGGAGGGTCTGAGAAAGATTTGGACAATTATTCTGCAGATAGCACAAGTGCTCTCTGATTTTATAGTTTTGTTTACCTTTATCAACACCATCCATGCGGAAGCTAACAAACTGAGAACTGATTCATTCATCTTTCATCGTTTAGTCTTAGATATCCAAGAGCTGCGGAAGATGGACAGAACAGTACTCAGACAGGTACAGCTTTGCTTTCTAGGTGAGACACTGGGTATAGAATTTAACCTCTCCAATGCCTGTTTCTTGGTGTAAAATGAGAAAAGGTACTGCATAAGGTCATAGAATAAATGAACCAAATGAGGCCCAACTCATTGTACATAACCAGTAAATAGTTGTTTCTTTCCCTCTTAATTCTGTAAGAAAGTATTTACTTAATATAAATGTTACAAGAAAAACATTCCTCTTAGGACTGGTTGTAACTTGACAATCACTAGAGTTCCCCATTTGGTAGTACAAAATAGTAACTTGTGTTATAAAATCTTACTTCCATATGTATACAGTACATTAATTTCTGGGCATTATGGCTGTTCTTCTGCTGTCTTTGTCTGGCAACTTCTTGATGTCTTCCAGCTGGGGAAATGGCCTTTGGGGCTGTAGGCTGCCCTACCCTCCTGGTGGAACCTTCAGTGAGCAGTGGCTGTTCTGAGAACGCCAGCCAGTCTTCAGCTGCAGTACTGGTAAGGAGCTAATATGACACGATTTCTGTCCCGACTTCAGAAACACAGTGTGACTGCATAAAGACGATCTTCCCTCCCCATCCTGCTGCCTGCTCTATCACCTGGGCCACTTGCACCTCTCCATGAAAATGGCTTCTCCCGCTTCTGCTGACAGCCCTTGCCTTCATCCACAGGCAAAGACCTGGAAATCCTCTATCCAAAGTCCCGGTGTCCATA